GTAAAGGGTGGTCTGTTTTTATCCATTTTCTTGTCTTTCCACAGAAGTCCTGCTCCCCAGCCCAGAGGGGAGAGTTGTGTATTTCCAAGGTAACAGGCTCAGGAGTGCAAGGGATTTTGCATCGAGTTTCAAGTGCCTGGAGAGAGGATGGTGAGAGCAATTCTGGGGTCCCAGAAAGAGAAATGCTCTGGCATTTCAATATCAATTAGAGAAGAAGACAGGCTTTGGTGCTGTGGTAACTGAAGAAAACACTTTGCTGCTTTTTGTTGCCTTCCACCAATTCTGCAGTAGACTCTCAACGGATGTGGTTATCGTGTGGTCGCACTAGAGTCATTTTAAACTCTTTCCAAATGCCGCTGTGCAGCCCTTATGACTTCGGGCAAAAGAAATAGTAATAAATGCAAATAAGCACTGGCTAAGTGATTTCTGGATTGCAGTGTAAAAGTATTTCTAAGAGGTCTCCAAATATACAGAGCAATGATAAGAGATACGTGTTCCTACCAGTGCTGAGCATTTTGGGGTGTCCTGAAAGTCCACGAAGGAAGGTGCTCTTAAAGCAATGGTTCTTAATAAGTTTTTATCTTGTGGACACAAGCAACGGATGTAGACTCAATTTGCAGTACTTATAAAGGGCTCAGTGCTCCAAGGTACAAATTCTACATATGATTTGGGATCTGAAAGGAAAGAAACATATTTTTTTTAAGTTGCTGCAGACATGACATCAGCAAGAAAGGCTTGTATGCTTTTAAAACAAATTATATTTGTTAGACTTGAAAAACTACCGTGACAGGCTGGTAAGAAGTCCCGGCTCAAAGTGTAACAAATATTAATAGGTTAGGAAGAATTTATGAAGAATCAACAAACATGTTCCATCAACCAGTATCTTCTGGTGATCATGAGCAGTGCGTAAGCAAATGGTGTGCACACACAGGGAATTCACAGCCCTGTTTCATTATTGGAGCCAGTAATTGGCTCCTGCTGATCACAGGACATGCAATCCCCCCCTTCAGCTTTGTCCTGCACACATTGCCTTTGTGGGGATCTGACTCCATAGGCTTCACTGGATTATTCATTACTCGCATGTAATTATTAATGAGAGGAGTACTGGGTCTTGAAAGTACTTGGAAGCTGAGTGAGAGCCTGGGCTGAAAAGAGCAAGTAGTTGGAAGTGAAAAATACTACAGTTCCTGAACATAATTAACTGTCTGTCTTTAGCCACAAAAGGAAAGCTTTGTTCTCCCTCCACAATGTAAGCTCTATACAAGTTCATAGAATCACAGAATGGTTTGGGTTGGAAGGGACCTTAAAGATCATCCAGTTCCAACCCCCTGCCCTGGGCAGGGACACCTCCCACCAGACCAGGTTGCTCCAAGCCCCATCCAGCCTGGCCTTGAACCCCTCCAGGGATGGGGCAGCCACAGCTTCTCTGGGCAACCTCTTCCAGTGCATCACCACCCTCACAGCAAAGAATTTCTTCCTAATATCTCATTTAAATCTTACCTCTTTCAGTTTAAAACCATTACCCCTCATCCTATGGCTCCCCTCCCTGATCAAGAGTCCCTCCCCATCTCTCCTGGAGCCCCTTTAGGGCCTGGAAGGGGCTCTAAGGTCTCCCTGGAGCCTTCTCTTCTCCAGGCTGAGCGTTCAAGTGCCATGCCTTTTTGCCAAAATCAGGATGACTTGCAAGTGCTCTTCCTCTTTTTTTTTTTTTTTTTCAAGGAGCTGTATCTATGAAAAGGATTTACGTTTCTCTTTTTCTGGAGGCCGACAGGAAAAGATCAAGGTAGTTCTTGGGGATCTTTCATCCTCACATCCATAATACGCGCCACACACGATATATTGTCAAAACAGATTTCAGCGAAGGAATGTGTGGCTGTTGTTCTTCATGGCTGCTAAATATTTTTTAAGTTTCCTAATCTTGTGATAAGAAAGTAACTCTGCTTTTTCCTGTCACATGCAAGTGTGGGATTCTAAAGTTAGGTACATGGCAACATTTGCTCTGAAATGTCCTTATTATGCATCTTATATAACTGGTGACTAGATGGGATACTGATGGCCTACTTAAAATACTGCTTTTAACTAATTACTGTTTTTTCTCCTCAAGCCACGGACGGACTGTCTTCTATTACATTTTGAAGAAGTCCCCACATCTCCTTCCTCACATCCTTCCCCTCCCGATAAGAACTTGTGTCAAATGTAATGATTATATCACCTCTTCCTCATCTCCAGCCTAAATTTACTCCTGGCCAGTTCACAGCTATTAATTCTTCTGACAACTTTTTCATTCGGCTCTTCTGTTACTGCTTTATGGTTCCTGGAACCTGCTAAGGGCACTGGAGATGATCAATGATCTTGCCTGGTCTGTCAGTCCTAAGAAGCCTTCCTGAGTCTCCCTTTGGTGCGGAAGACAGAGATGCCACAACTTTTTTTTAAAAGAGATGAATATTTGTGGTTACAAGGCAAATCAGGAACCCTACAGTAACCACCAGCCACCCCTGAGGAACCTTTGAGAGCAAAGATGGACCAAAGTGGTTAAGTTTTCAGGAAACACAATCAGCTTACTCTGCTGTAGCAAGGCAGAGTCCCTGGAGCTGATCCCTCCTTTGCCACCCAAACTCCGTGGGACGTACCTCTTGGGTCCCCAACCCCGGCTCCCCACGGTCCCTACCAGTCACAATAACGTAATATTCATTAACTGTTTGAGCTCCTGTTTTCATAGAATCACAGAATCATGGAATGGTTTGGGTTGGAAGGGACCTTAAAAGATCATCAAGTTCCAACCCCCTGCCCTGGGCAGGGACACCTCCCACCAGACCAGGTTGCTCCAAGCCCCATCCAGCCTGGCCTTGAACCCCTCCAGGGATGGGGCAGCCACAGCTTCTCTGGGCAACCTGGGCCAGTGTCTCACCACCCTCACAGCAAAGAATTTCTTCCTCAGATCTCATCTAAATCTCCCCTCTTAAAGTTTAAAACCGTTACCCCTCATCCTGTGGCTCAAGAGTCCCTCCCCATCCCTCCTGTAGCCCCTTTAGGGACTGGAAGGGGCTCTAAGGTCTCCCCAGAGCCTTCTCCACATCCAACTCTCTCAGTCTATCCTCACAGCAAAGGGAGTCCATCCTTCTGAACATCTCCGTGGCCTCCTCTGGCCCTGTTCCAACAGGTCCATGTCCTTCCTGTGCTGAGGACTCCAGAGCTGGACAGAGTGCTCCAGGTGGGGTCTCACCAGGGTGAAGCAGAGGGGCAGAATCACCTCCTGCGACCTGCTGGCCACCGCTTCTTTTGAAGAATGTGGTTGGCTTTCTGGGCTGCCAGCACATGTTGCCAGCTCATGTTGAGCTTCTCATCCACCAACACTCCCAAGTCCTTCTCCTCAGGGCTGCTTTCCAGCCATTCTCCACCCAACTTGGATTTGTGCCTGGGATTGCCACGTCCCAGGTGCAGGACATTGCACTTGGCCTGGTTGAACCTCACGAGGTTTGCACAGTCCCACCTCTCCAGCCCGTCCAGGTCCCTCTGGATGGCATCCCTTCCCTCCAGCATGTTGACTGTGCCACACAGCTTGGTGTCATCTGGGACTGTTTAGTATGAGGAAGAGGAGGCTGAGGGGAGACCTTATCACCCTCTACAACTACGTGAAAGGACACTGTAGAGAGGTTGGTGCTGGTCTCTTCTCACAGGTAATTAGTGACAGAACGAGAGGGAACGGCTTCAAGCTCCAACAGGGTAGGTTTAGATTGAACATTAGGAAAGAATTTTTCACCGAAAGAGTGGTCGGGCATTGGAACAGGCTGCCCAGGGAGGTGGTGGAGTCACCATCCCTGGCTGTGTTTAAGGGCCGTTTAGATGCAGTGCTAAGGGACATGGTGTAGGGGAGGACTTTGTAGAGTAGGGTAGATGGTTGGACTCCATGATCCCAAGGGTCTCTTCCAACCTAGACGATTCTATGATTCCATGAAACTTGCTGAGGGTGCTCTCTGTCCCACTGTCCGTGCCTCCAACAAAGATGTTGAACAGCACTGGTCCCAGTATGGACCCCTGAGGAACACCACTCGACACTGGCTTCCACTTGGCCACTGTACTTTAACACACTTGGGATTTACGCTTCCATTGGGAGGCTCCTCTGGAATGCCAATAGTTCCGCTTGTGGCAAGCACCTTTCCACAGCCCAGGGGAGGCACAGCTGCATTACAGAATCACAGAATCTTAGTGGTTGGAAGGGACCTCTGAGATCATCGAGTCCAACCACAAAAAAAAACCCAAAAAAACCAAAAAAACCACACCACACCACGCCTAACGCCCACCAAAAACACCGCACCCACCAACTAAACCCCACACTGAACACCTCACCATAAACCAATAACCTTGGGCACTAGAGCATGCCCTGAAGAGCCATGTCTATACGTTTCTTAAATACCTCCAGGGATGGTGACTCCACCACCTCCCTGGGCAGGCTGTTCCAGTGCCTGACCACTCTCTCAGTAAAGGAATTCTTCCTAATATCTAATCTAAATCTCCCTTGCCGCAACTTTAGACCATTTTCTCTGGTCTTGTCTTTAGTCCTTTGGGAGAAGAGGCCAACACCTGCCTCTCTCCAACCTCCTTTCAGGTAGTTGTAGAGGGCAATGAGGTCTCCCCTCAGCCTCCTCTTCTCCAAACTAAACATGCCCAGTTCCCTCAGCCTCTCCTCACAGGACTTGTTCTCCAGACCCCTCACCAGCTTGGTGGCTCTCCTCAGGACATGCTCCAGCACTTCAATGTCTCTCCTGTAGTGAGGCATTCAGCCCATCCCCACGCCTTCCCGCGGCACTTTTGCCCGTGGCTGCTCCGTTTCCCTTCACCTGGAGCCTGTCACAGCCGCCGGTACCTACAACACCTCACACCCGCAACTCCGGCCTCCTTCCCCCGCGGCCGCCCCCCCGGCCCTGTCCCGCCGGCGTGTGGCGGGGCGCGGCCCGGCCGCCCCCACAGGCCCGAGCATGCTCAGTGGCGGCGGCCGGGGCCGGCGTTGGTCTCGCTTAGAGCTGCCAGGCGGGGTGTGCGGGGAGGTGTAGCACCGCATCGGCCATCGCCGGGGCTCCGCCGCTCCTTCCCTCATGAGCAGCCAGGCGGCGGAGGGCGCGGGGAGCCAGCGGCCCCCAGGTGGGAGCCGGCAGCGGCGGCCTCGCGTTTCTGCGCCGGTGCCTTGACGGCGCGACCGAAGGGCCGCTCCGCGGGGACCTGGAGCTCCGCGCTGGGAAGCTGTGGGGGTGTGTGTGTGTGGGGAGGGTGGTTGTCCCCGAGGTTGTGTCCCGGGGATGTCCCCTGGGGCCGGGCCCCGGGGCGCGGAGGGGCAGCTGCCGGGTGGGCTGAGGGGCGGCGGGGCAGGGAGCCCCCCCCACCCCGGCTCCGTGAGGGAGAAGGGCTTGATGTAGCTCCCCGGAGGCGGGAGGGCAGAAGTTCTGTGGGGATTTTAATTTTCCAGCCCTACTTGCAAACCGTAATTCCCTCTATCCATTTATAATATTATTTTTTTTCCTTTATATTGTGCGTTTTGAAGATGATGGCGTGCCCGAAGCTGCAGGTGAGGAGCGGAGGCGGCTTACCAAAGAGCAGCTCTTCACCATGGTTGCGACAGCTTCCATAAACTTCAGTTCAATGATATGTTATTCAATCCTGGGACCCTTTTTCCCTACGGAGGTAAAGAAACGATTTAGCTGGCTCCTCTTTAGATTATCTTTCACACGTTGGAACTCTTAAAAGGACCTTGGGACACCGTGGGACCTTCATGGCTGGGTCTAAGCTCCAAGTTTAAGACTTCCCAGTTGTGGGAATTCATAGCGACAGCCTGGTGCTGGCTAAAACAGATGAGAGTGTGTATAATGGTGACCTGGATCCTCTCCATGGATTAATTTCATCTTCCCTGTAGCTGCAGAGAAGGCAGCAAACTAATGAAATGAGACAGAAGTTGAAATGGGTGCTTGGAGAAGTGGAATAGTATTTGCCCAGGGTTGCGTTGCAGTTTGGTAGTAGATCGGAGATTAAAACTCTGCCCCTGTCCTGACTTGAATTTCCCTGCCTTAGCCACTCAGTGACATTTTATTTATAGCTACCTCTCTGTTAACTCATGCTGGGCCATCAGCCACCGTGTTAAACTCCCTGACCTAGCAGCTGGAGGTAAAAAAAACCCCAAAACTCTGCTTATGTTGAGTGAATACAATGTTTAAATATAGGATGGGGAAAAAAAATGGTTGTGGTGCCTTCACAACAATCACCCATTTCTCTCCTGAACAAACTGTTCCCAAATATTAACAAAGAAACATTAAGATTATTTTTATTCAACACATTCTAATGTACAGTTTGTACCCAAGTCAGTGTGTTTTGCCAGTTGGATAAGTCAAAAATTTACATGGTGCTTATTATGGGGAGGCACGATATGGTGAAGGTAAGAGATATCTTTGTTCATTGCCCTCTCGCTGTGTGAGGGATCAAAGCTTAATAGGTAGAAGCCACCTCTATAAAAGCTGGTCACCTGTTCAGTAGTTCAGCGAACTACTCCTTGAGGAATCACTGTTGCTTTTACCTTGATTACATACAGCTTAAATAGAAGTGCAACATCTCGTTAAATTGCTGTGTCCTTAAATTACCTTACGAGCCCCTACTGTCTTTGAGGAAGAAAATTGCTTTGTGACTGCACAAATTAAAAAAAGATTAAAATTAATATACAGACGCAAGTGTTACCTCAAGAATTTGCCTCCATCTTTACACAGTTGTGATCTTTTTTTTTTGAGGCAGAAAAAAAAGGTGCCAGTAACACCGTTGTTGGTATGATTTTTGGATGTTTCGCCCTGTGCAATTTCTTGACTTCTTTAATCTTGGGAAATTATGTAAGTATAATTGAAGCTGTAACTTCTTTCTGTGATGACACAGGTTGGTTACACGAAGACACTTCTCTAAGGCTGGGAGAAGAGCTGTCTCCTTCAGTAGCATTCCTGCAGGCTCCTGTCTGCAGTAACTGGAGCCTGGCCAGTCAGTCTGCATCTGATCTAAGTCTTGTCAGCACAGTTTAAAAATTACCCTGGTACAGTTCTTGCAGGTAGCATAGCGTGGTGGGACACATAGCTGTTTTGTTTCTCTGCTTAACTCTTCTGTTTGCTTCAGAGTCATCTGCTGATCAATTCTCCTTTCTGTTACCTCCTTCCCCCCCATCCCCTGTTTTATTTATTGCACTTCTATATTCTGTTTGCCTTTGGCACCGTTCTGAAGGTGTTCTGTTCTGGTGTTGTTTTTTTTTTTCCCTTTAGTTAGCTACACCCCTTATTCTTTTCTGGTATGTTGTCTTTTTCTTAACTTTTCCTCCTGTTACGATTCTTTGCTGCTTAACTTGGCTTCCCCTTCCACTACATTATACAGCAATATGAGATAAATCTCTCCAGTTCTTTCAGCTTCGGTTTTCCCACAGATCCAGGATTTTTCCTTTGCTGGAGAAATTATGAATAAATCAGATAAGCTTGTTTGTGTATATGCTGGAGCAACGCTGTGTATTTGTTTTTAGCTACAGCTGCTCAGAATCATACCCTCAGTTGGGGCTTCTGCATTTTCACATTATTCTCTTGTTGGGCCATCTCTTTGCTGACCCCAAGGTAAATGATTTTTCTCTGGTGGCCAGGTGGTTTATCAAGGTGTCACACAAGTGTCATTGGTAATTGCAGTCTCTCTCAGTGCCTGTGATGGCATTCAGCTGTGGCACAAACCCTCACTTAAGTGCTTTTAGGGGAGAGATAGTGAGCACCAGTAGAGGTGGACAGTCCTCACTTAAGTGCTCAGAGATAGTGAGCACCAGTAGAGGTGGACAGTCCAGCAATCAGAAATCTTGAGGGTTTTGGTGAAACTTGGCAAAATACGGGCTTGAGTAATAATGGGCTGAAACACAGGGACTTTGTCCAGGCCTGAACAAGAAGAGAGCCTGAAACACCTGCTGTCCTTAGGGGAAGTTACAGCATGGAATGAGAAGCTCAGATGTGCTTTGTTACGGGATTGAGTTGGCCTCTGGTTGTCCTTCACCTCAGTGATGGTCTGAAATGAAGGAAGGTGGGTTCCTTTCCCTGGTATTGAATGGGGCAGCTGGAAGCTACCATCCTTCCTATGACAAAACTTTGTGCTATTAAAGGTTGTGATAAATGTGCTTAAAAAATCAGCTTGACTCTCCTGAGCCATATACATGGCAGGTGGTGTTGACTTGGCTTCAATGGCAATGCTGGAGGGGGAATGTATTGCTTTCTGTCTGTAATGAGAGGTGCTGCTACAACCTGCTGCTCTGCAGAAGCTGCAGCGCCGTGCTGTGAAATAGTTAACTGCACCATTGTCTTACCAGTCTAAAAACTGGGTTAAGTCACTTAACTGTTTAGAATATTTTTAGGTTCAGTATTGGATGAAGGTAGGAGCAGCATCTCCAGATCTTTTAGTTACGTATGCCAGAAAGCGCCAACAGTGTTTTGATTTCTTAACAGTAACTTACTTTGAAAGATTTTTTTAATCTGGGCTTGAAATAATAAAATGCAACAATTGTATTTAATTTACAGCTTACGCAAATTGGAGCAAAATTCATGTTCGTGTCAGGGATGTTTGTTTCAGGCTGTGTGACCATTCTCTTTGGGTGAGTAATTTTTCTGGATTGGTTTTGTTGCGTTTGTCTTCTCACCATCTTCATCCATATGAAGAGACAGACACAGAAAAAAACTGGAAACTTTTGGGTATTTTCCAGGTGCTGGGTTACATCACCTAACTTTTTGTATCTTTACTTTTGATCTATCCCTTGTAAAGCAGAATGAATTCTTCTCCCTTTCAGTAGGTTTCTTTACTACTTTGAAAACAAAGGAGGAAGGTTCTATGTATTTAAATAACTACTATAAATATCGTTCATGAACACCAAGGAGTCTGTCAAAGTGCAGCAATAAGGGAACTATTTATGCATAATTTCTTAATTATTCTTCTCTTAAACATATTGAGTGCAAATGAGAAGCTTTGTCTGACAGGTGGAGAGAGGCTCAGCCACTCGTTTTAGCAAAAATAAAAACTTTATTAGCAGGTGGAGAGGCTCAGCTACTCGTTTTAGCAAAAATAAAAACTTTATTAACAATGAGAGCTCTTATTAAGTAGTTTTAACTGATTGCGTCTGGCTCCTTGTGCAGTTGCTTGGAGAAGTGGTGAAATGCAACAGAAGATGGCATTGGAGTTTTTTACAAGTTAGATATTTTTTTTTCATGCTCTTTTCACCACCAAAGACAGAGGAAAAGGAGAATGTTGCCAGAAATAGTTTGTTGGAGTTTGAATGACTTCACTGATGCGATTCAAAAAGATGTGGCTGTTGAAAGCATTGAGTGTCTTGTCAATGTCTCCTTTAAGGAGTAAGAAATGATGCTCCAGCGCCTTTAGTAGATGGCTTGGTTTTTTACACGTTTATTGTGGATTTTTTTTTCTCAGAATGTTGGACAAGGTGCCGAGCGGACCCATTTTCATTAGTCTGTGCTTTTTAGTAAGAGCAATGGATGCAGTTGGTTTTGCAGCCGCGATGACAGCATCATTTTCAATCCTTGCAAAGGCCTTTCCCAGTAATATCGCTACTGTCCTGGTAAGTGCCAAAACCAGAGTCACAGCTGAGTACCTGAGATAGGAGAAATTACAGTGGGCAGCCTAAAAACAGAGGAAAATCTGCTGTCTCATGTGCAGGCATATTTGAAATTGTATCATAATGTTTGTTTGTAATCTCGAATCACAATCCTAGAACAAGTTTAGCTTGATGTCTGTTAGATTTATACTTTAGCCTAACTTCAATTAACATCAATAAATGAAGCAGTATGTGTTGGTTGTTTATGTTTTGAATATATCTGACCATCTCTTCAGTTGAAATCAGGCTGTTAAAAATACTAATACAGCTTTTAGCATCTGCTTCTACGTGGATGGTACGAATCCACGTGGACTGATCCAAGAAATTTGATAAATTCTTGATTTATCAAGATTTAAATGACTGAAAGCTGCAAAACTGGAAACAATTTTGGTTTTGTTTTTCTAATCTCTTGATAAAAGTGATGTATGAGAAGAGGAGAGCTACATCTGCTTCTACGTGGATGGTAAGAATCCACGTGGACTGATCCAAGAAACTTGATAAATTCTTGATTTATTAAGATTTAAATGACTGAAAGATAAAAGTGATGTATGAGAAGAGGAGAGCTAGAACTTCTTGAAATCTTTAGGGCAGTATTTTTGCTCGTCAATGACACATTTCAACCAGAGATACTACCCTTGTTTAGTCAGGTTTTATGGTGTTAGGAAAAAGAAGGTTTTGTATTTAATGCTGCTTTTTCTTTCTCTTTTGTGGTGGTTTGTGGTTTCAATTCAAGTACAGGCTGACAGAAGTAATTGGGTTAAATTTTAATGAGTGAAGACGTGTTAAGAACGTCCCTCAGAACATTTAATAAAACTGGAAAAGTTGATGCTTTTATTAATGTTGTTGTTAAGCTGTATATTTATTTCTGTAAATAAATGCCTACAGAAATAAGACCTCCTAACTAGCAAAAAACTACTAAAATATATCAGCAGTGAGGAGCTGGCAGTTTCTTTGGAAAGTAGGTTATACGTTGTAATCACATTTTGTATTTATTCAGTCGATAAGGTTTAAAGTGTTTTCAAATTTTAAAATGTAATTTAAATGGGTAGGTAATCTTGTCTTAAAGGGTTTTAGTTATCTGTCTTATAATAAGACTTAAAATTAATTCTGTGGTGGCAGCCCCAGTAAACCTGATGAATAGCTGGAAAGGGTACCTGGTGAAGAAGGTCACCTTGACCACAACAGGAAACACTCCACAGCTGTGGCTTGGGAGCTACCTTTGTTTAGAATCTAGAAAGGGTGGTGTTGGAAGACAAATATTGGTCTTTTTGCTGTGTTACATACTCCAATGTCGTTCTGCGTGAATGAAACCTCTTCAAATTCATTCATGTGGATTTTCTGTCCCTAAATGGATACGTCAGAGAGGAGTTGTCACTGTGAGCTCTGCTGGTGGCAGAGGCAGGAGGCAGAAGAAGGAGCTGATTAATTAAAGCAAGATGCATCCTGTGGTAAAATCATAAAGCCTCAGGGAATGGAGAAGGACTCTTTAGCCTTGCTTTCTATTGCCCTCCTCCTTACTTCTAGATACTGAAAAGCATTTTTCCTCTCCTTGCCCTTTTGGTAGCAGTTTTCAGTTTATCCACAGAGTACCCTAGAGAATGTTGGTTTACCTTATCCTCCTCTGATCTGTAATAATGCAATGCCTCAGCTCCTCCTCCCCTGTCCACCCCCAAATAATTCTTTAATTTAGAAGGGCTAAATAATGTACAGCCTGATTTGAACTGAAGTCTCACCTATTGTAAGTACTTCTTTTGGTTGGAGGGCAACACAAGTAAAAGCATTATTTGGATGCAGGTATGTTAACTCAGGGGCATTCCCTGTGTTGAAGTTTACCAAAATGTCTTAAATCTATCTAGAACTAATTTTGAGGACTTGCTAGTCATATGCTGTTATTTCCTTTTCCTAGGAAATGGAATTTAAATATCTTTTCCTTATGAAATAAGAAATGGCTGGGACCCTCGGCTGACCAGGGGTAAAGAACTTGGCTGTTGCTGACTTTGCCCAGTCTGGGTCCGTTTGACCACTCTGACTCGTATCAGTAAAATTAAAGATGGAGAGGAATCCCTGTACTGTCGTTCTGGGTCCCAGAAGTTATTAAAAACTTGTAACTGCAAGCAATTATTACCATCAGCAGTTATTTGTTAAAAGGGGATGGTCTAAGCACTGGTTCGTCGAGTATCGAGGCAGATGTTGGCAGCGGTGACTGTGGTGTTGTAACACAAGATTTAGGCTTTTATTGTTACACTAGAGTTTCTCAGCATTCTGACCTTTTTTTTCCCCTTTCTTTTTCATCCTTTAGGGCAGTCTTGAAATTTTTACAGGACTGGGACTGGTGCTGGGCCCGCCTTTAGGTGGCTTTTTGTATCAGTCCTTTGGTTACGAGGTCCCTTTCATTACCCTGGGATGCGTGGTGTTGGTCTTGGTGCCTGTGAATATGTGCATATTACCAGAATATGGTAAGAACCCTTCTTCCCCTCTCCTTCTTTCACCTTATTTTCTCATGTATATAACTGTGTTTTAGAAAAATACCGTTTTTTGGAGTCTGATATAACTCAGAGGGCGAAGCTCCAGCTGAATTAACTTGTGATCTTAATCAGGCCCATGTTTTAATGCAAACTAAAATTCGTGTGTGCAGATGGGCTGGAGTGAATCCAGCACCTCATGCCCATCTCTGCAAACACTAAGAAGTCTGTGTGGAAGTGAACTGAGATAATTTTTTTGTTTTCTTTTATCTCTTTAGCTTCAGGGCTCGTAAAGGATCCCTTGTGTCTTCTTTGCATTCACTTGTCATTGCAGCTAATTGAAGACAAGGATAGTTTTTTGTCTAAAACAAGAGAACCTGACATGTTTGATGGGTTAACAGAAAGAGAAAAAAACAGAATTACAGGGAGAACAAAACGAGTTTATTTGTACTCAAGGATTGTAGGATGTAATTAACATGAAAAAATGTTAAAGTGAATAAAGGGGAGGTTTAACTGAACTGCTGAAAGTGTTATCAATTTTATTAAATTTTAGATGGTCCTGCTTGGACAGAGTTAACTTAAAGATAAGTCCTCATGCAGGGTGGTAATTGCAAGGTTACAGTTTTGTTAGTCTTTTCTAGAAAAAACGATAACTTTGAAATACTCCCTGGGGTTTGTTTATTTTTTTTTCCTATTAAGTATGAAAACCTTGGAGAATAACTACATGTATATTGGCTTTTAGAGAAAACTTACAGTGGTGAACCATCTGTTCCTACTGCTGGCTTCCCCCCACTTACCCCCAGCTCCCTAACCTTGAAATTGGATGGAGTCATGATATTACTGCCCAGTTTGAAACTCCATTAAATAAATGTAAATAAACTCCTGTCTGGAGTGTGGATTGAACATGCAGGAGACCCAAATGACTAGTTGCTTAAAAATTCAGACACATCTCAACTGATAAACAGCAACCTTTTTATTTTACTTTCAAAGCCTGTTTCTCTGATGGGATATGAGTGGCTCGTGCGTGTGTGCGTGTTGTTTTAGGTTGAGATGAATCCATGAGATTTTAATTTTATAGGGAGAAATACAGAAGTAACTGTATTTTCACATAATTGGGGATGGTACATGCTTTTGTTCTTTCCAAGCTGGGGATTTGCCATGTTGGAATCGAAACAGTGTACTTTTCTTCTTTTATTCACCTATCAAATTTGCTTTTTTAATACACTTTTCTTCTTTTATTCCCTTATTAAATTTGGGGTTTTTTTAGTTTAAGAATAGTGTAGTGCATAATAGTGAAATACTGACTTTCATTTACTAGATAATAAGAGTAATAGGACTAGAAAAAGGGAAGTAGTGATTTCTTCTCTATATTAAGAAGATTAATCCTGAGCTTATACTGCTGAAAATAATGCAATTCCCCCCCACTTTTCTCTTGAAGCAGATTCGATCCCTAGCAAGGACTCCTTCTGGAAGCTCATTCTCTTACCAAAAATCTTAGTGCTGTGTCTTACAATATTTTCTCTAAGTGCATGTTTGGGCTTTTTGGATCCCACAATGTCTCTATTTATCCTAGAGAAGGTAAGTCCCGTTAACGTGCAGGGAAGTCATGACTTGCTGACTAGTAAATAACTGGTTATAAATGTAGTTTAAATGTCCTAACCAAAATAAAGCCTTATCCAACTACGGTGCTTTAATTAACTGCTAATAATATGATTTCCAAATATCTCAATTTCCACAGTACTGACAAATCACAGTTTCCATCGACGCTATCTGTTGCCATTGGGTTTTGATAACTTCAAAGCCCTTAAAATTGTGCTTTTTCCACTTAATTGGCTTTCAGCTGCAGAGATCCTTCTCTGAGCGGGGCATAAGGAGCTGGTTTTGTGAACAAGGGACTTTTTCCTCCTTTCTGCAAGGAAATTCTGTAAAACTGCAACAGTCCCCGACAGTGTTACGTCTCTTGACGCGGACGTTTGTTTTCAGGGACGGGATGTCTCAGCTCTGCCTCATGTTACAGCAATGCCAAAATTAAACCAATTACAGCTCTGTGGCCTGCCAGCTGACTTCTTCACTCACTCACTAAAAAGGCCATTTATTTATTTATAATTTATTTATTTATAATTAATTTATTTATTTGTTTCCTACTTAATTGTATGATGGTGTTTCATTTATTTATTTATAATTCATTTATTTATTTGTTTCCTACTTAATTGTATTTACTTGTTTATTTTCCCCATGGTTTTTAAGGTAATGACTTTGAAGTAAGCAGTTTTAAGATTCTGTTCCTGGGTGAAATGAAGCCTTGCTCTTGGAGTGATTTATTTATGAATTGTTTTTTTCCAAGGAGTAGCATTTCACAGGTGGTTGTGCTCCTGCTTTTCATCTGTCTAGTTCAGCACTTAAGAGCTCTCATCCAGGGTGGAGGAGAACTTGGTGCTAACCTCTTCCATCTGTGGAGGTGGGAATGGATGGCTTCTACCACCCGGGAGGGATCTATAATTGTTCTCCTATAGAATATTGCACACTGGGGTGGCTCTTCTGCTTTCCCTCTGCTGACAGATACTCCCCGTGAAAGGCCTGGAGCCTTCTTGGCAAGTGTCCTAACCACTAAATTAGAGTTATTATCATGTGTTTGCATGTGGCAAGGAAATAGTGAATATTTATGTAGCCCACACCACATAAAACATCTTGGAATTCCTTCTAACTGGTAATTAAAGCATTCATTTGAGAGACTAGTATTCTTTTGTTTCATTACAGGTTTTGTTTTAATTCAGAAATAGGACTCTGCATCAGGAAAATGTAGACCTCGGGGTGTTTGCAAAAAGCCTCTTACTCAATCTCATGCAAACCCTTTTTGGTTGAAAAGTTGTGTTTTGTAGTGCTATTAACTTTTAAGATGCACTGATGAGCAGTGGCTGACTACAGCATTTATGCTTTTCTGAGTGGAAATAAAACTGGATTGGAGAGCTAGAGACTAAATCCACCTAAATTTTGGTGTCTGAAGTATCTGTTTGCCAGATATTAATGTTGGCACAGGGGCATGGCACAGTGTTTCCTCCTGAGATTATTTAGGCTTTATCTGAGTACAGTTGTGTTGGGTGTTGTCACTCCATGCCTAGAAATATAAGTGGAGGAGCGAAATATAAGAAAATAAATATAAGAACTGGAACGAGTTCTGCTGATGACTTCAAATACTTGAGCTGCCTGGCAGAAAAGGACCTGGGGGCGTTGGTGGCCTGTGGGCTGAACAGGAGCCAGCAGTGTGCCCAGGTGGCCAAGAAGGCCACCAGCATCCTGGCCTGTGTCAGGAACAGCGTGGGCAGTAGGACTCGGGAGGTGATCGTCCCCCTGTGCTGGGCCCTGGGGAGGCCCCACCTCGAGGGCTGTGTCCAGTTTTGGGCCCCCTACCATAAAAAAGACATTGAGGGGCTGGAGCGGGGCCAGAGAAGGGCAATGGAGCTGGTGAGGGGGCTGGAGCACAAGTCTTATGAGGAGAGGCTGAGGGAGCTGGGGGGGTTCAGCCTGGAGAAGAGGAGGCTGAGGGGAGACCTTATTGCTCTCTACAACTCCCTGAAAGGAGGTTGTAGAGAGATGGGGGTCGGTCTCTTCTCTCAAGTCACAGGCAACAGGACAAGAGGAAATGGCCTCAAGTTACACCAGGGGAGGTTCAGGCTGGATATTAGGAAAAATTTTTTCACTGAAAGGGTTCTCAGCCATTGGAATGGGCTGCCCAGGGAGGTGGTTGAGGCACCATCCCTGGCGGTGTTCAAAAGACGGGTTGATGTAGTGCTGGGAGGTCTGGTTTAGTGATGATGCTCCTTGTTTGTTGTGTGGGTGTCTATTTTTGTCAGTTAGGTTGACGGTTGGACAAGATGATCTTTAAGGTCCCTTCCAACCTAGAAGATTCTGTGATTCTGTGATTCTGGGTGATAGCAGTAAAAAACTTAAAATTACTCATTTTAGTATTTTCACCTAAAATGGATTGTCGTGGATTGTTGTGTAGTGAACATAGCATTTTCTTTTGTCTTCCTTTCCATAGTTCAAAATCCCAACTGGCTACGTGGGCTTGGTGTTCCTCGGGTTGGCACTCTCGTACTCCCTGTCTTCTCCTCTCCTTGGGCTCGTCAGCGACAAACTGCCGGTGAGTGCTACTCTGCTGTTGGGGCACTCTGTGCATTTCATTAAAACTGGAGAACTTCTCATATTGAAGCGATGGACGTAGGCCTGGTCCTGGAAAGGAATCTTCTTTCGGGACCTTTCATGTGCGTTGAATACTGCCAAGTTGAAGATCATGTTTGCAAGGTCCAGGTAACATTTGAAATAGTAAAGGATGTCACAGAATGATTTGGGGTTGGAAGGGACCTCTGGAGATCATCTCCTCCAACCCCCTGCCAGAGCAGGTCCACCCAGAGCAGGTCCCACAGGAACTTTTCCAGGTGGGTTTGGAATGTCTCCAGAGAAGGAGACTCCACCACCTCTCTGGGCAGCCTCTTCCAGGGCTCTGCCACCCTCACAGGAAAGAAGTTCCTCCTCGTGTTTAGATGGAACTTCTTATGTACAAATTTGTGCCCATTTCCTCTTGTCCTGTCCACAGGTCAGACAAGTGTCCTGAACTTGAAATGTGTTGAGTTTTTCCAGTGGACTAAGCACAATGAAGTTCCAGCCGATATGGAACAGAGAGTAGGAAAACACACCCCAGTTATTTATGCTTTTGTCCAGATCTATTTTTATCAGCTTTTGAGAAAAGGAATAAGGATGTTCTGGTTAGCTGTGTTGACTTTGTCTCCTAAAAAGTGTCATATCCAAATTAGATCAGCACACTGAGTGACCGTGGTCCTCTAGCTCTTGATTGCACCATAGGAAGAGACTGTGGCACTGATTTACCTTAAACAGCCTCATTGACAGCCGCTGCTAATTGAGCAAATGCCAGTTTTCTGACACTTTTTTTTTCCCCAACACAAACCAGTAATGGCCTTTGCACATGAGAATTACATGCAATGCTGATATATCTTAAGAAAAATAGTTTTTTTTTCCCAACACAAACCAGTAATGGCCTTAGCACATGAGAATTCCATGCAATGCTGATATATCTTAAGAAAAATAAGACTTAAAATGCTTTGCTAACGGAGTGAAGCTCTAATAGGGCCATTACTCAGTGTCCTGAAGAAATCTCTGTGTTAAGCAGCTGCTGCCAGTGGTTGAATTGATGTCGAGGAAACGTGAATTCAGTGTTTTGTGGTGGTTTTCAGAACTGGCAGAGTAATTGTGAATTCCCAGTTCTTGTGAACTGCAAGAGCAAGACTTTTCAGGAGGTGAAGGTTTAGAAGAGGGGCATTAGGAAAGACAGAAGAGTTAAATGACAAACTCTCATCTTCAAATTGTATACCTCTTTTCTGTCGCAGAACCTCAGGAAGTGGCTGCTGGTGTCTGGAGGCTTAATAACAGCACTGTGCTTTTTCATGTTGGGACCTGCTCCTGTGCTGCACATCAAAAGGTACAGAACTGCCTCTTCATCAACCTCTCCCCTTATGTGACATGTCTGTGATATGCCATTACAGTCCACAACTCTATAATTAGCACCTCAGACCATGAAACAGGGGGTTTTTTTAACTTCTAAGGTAAGACTATGAATATAAAGCACTGGGAGCATCTGAAAATGGAGATTTTACAGCTTTATAAATAGATCCTTTTCCTTTGCTTTTTACTGGTGCTGTTAATATGTGTGGTGGGAAGAATACTGCTTTTTATTTTCCTTTCCTCCCAATTCTGTGGCATTTCCAGGGCAGCAAAACAAAGTTCTCTTTCTGTCTTATTTTCCAATTTTCTCTTTTTCATCAGTGTTTCTTACCTATGGGTTTTATTTTCATGGCTGTCCAGCAGTATTGGGTTTTCTTCTCTCTGTGTAGAGCTTACAGAGGAAAATGCCAAATTTTAGCTTTGTTTTCAGCTATCTGAGGAAAAACAATGTCTGTTGAACCTGGACACTGCATTGCCAGATCTTTCAAGTTAATTAGCAGCAAAACACTCTGCTACATTTGCAAAACAGCTGTACAGCCCTTTTGTCCTAGGTTATATACTCTGTTAAAGATGATGATAGACTTGCTAATGTGCAGAATTAGTCAGCTCCTTCCTAATAGACTTCTAATTTTAAATAAGTTCATATGTTTGAAACTGGTGAGATCATACATTTGAGCTGTTCAGAAAAAGAAATCAGTCAAATCTTCAACATTCTTTTCTTTAGCTACTTCTGTTTGATTGTAATATAATGGGCTACAAAATTTTAGTTGCAAAAATCCTTCACTTCTGTAACAACCCAGGTCTTTGACATATGTATTGCTGAGTTAGGGTTGTCTCCCTACCTCTTCTCTGTGTGCTTCTCATAAAATGATCTGCATTTGGCAATTAAATACTCCAGTTGAGCACAGGATTTTCAAATTCTTTTACAGTGTCTCTTTTTTTAGGCGTGCAACTATGTTTTTCAAATCTTAGTGTTCAATTGAAGTAGAATTCTTTTTGGCTTCAAGAAATCTGGTTTTCTGGTCAATCATGAAGAGATGGTATAACAGTCTTCAGTCAAATGGGGTCCTTGCTTGAAAAGAGTCTTCAGCAGCTAATTTCTTTTAAATATCCCTTTTTCAGTCAGCTGTGGATGTTTGTGCTGGTGCTGGTTTTCATTGGCTTTTCCCTCGGCATGAGCGCTATCCCCTTGTTTCCAGAGATGCTGCACTGTGCATAGTAAGTAACTCAGTCCAACACCTCTTTCATGTTAAAAACAGTAGGAAACTGCAGCTAATTTTCAGGGGTGAACACGAAGTGGGGTTTCAGTATGGCTTTTCCCCCCCTTTTTTTTTGAGACAAAGGACGGGGAGTAGCATTTAAATTCTTCCACTACTCTTTTGTCTCAGTTTTTTTTGACTGAGCACCCCAGTCCTTTTATTACACATATAATTTTGCAAATGTGTACCTGAGTACTGTGAACACACTGAGGTCCATCAGACTTTGGGTGTCATACCATGGGATGACCTCTGTGTGGTTTCATATACATAGAATTTATTTCAACTTCTGAGGATAATTAATAGCAAGCAGTTTTTCCATTGGGTTTTCAGATTGTATTTGCTTTAACAACTGCACCTGCAGGAGTCACAGGTCTGTGATGTGGCTTGGTAGTAATGACCCAGAAGGGTCTTGGTTGCCCAGAGAAGCTGTGGCTGCCCCATCCCTGGAGGGGTTCAAGGCCAGGCTGGATGGGGCTTGGAGCAACCTGGTCTGGTGGGAGGTGTCCCTGCCCAGGGCCAGGGGGTTGGAACTGGATGATCTTTAAGGTCCCTTCCAACCCAAACCATTCTATGATTTATTCTTACTAGTATGTTCCTCTTGGAACAAGGCCTTTCATTCTTAAAAGGTACTTGTCACTGTTTTACGTTTGCCAAATGAAACATGGCGAGTGAGTAATGGTGTGATGTTAGGAATCTCTCTCAGAAGATGTCAAAGTTGAGGAGTAACACTGCAATCCTCCAGAGAGGCAGCAAAAAAGGAAGTACTGCATAAACAGACATGATTCCACTGTACAATTTTGCTTGTTAACTATTCATGTCGTGTGTAAATTCAAAGGAGGGAAAAAAACTCTCTATAGGAGAAGGCTATAGTCTTACACTCATTAATGTATTGTACTACTCTGACTGGTCTGTCTTTCTGCAGTGAGAATGGGTTTGAAGAAGGTCTGAGTCTGCTGGGACTAGTGTCTGGGCTCTTCAATGCCATGTGGTCCCTTGGGTAGGTATAAAGTCATCCTTTTGTAAGCCATGTCTACACTATGGCCACATGAAAGCCTGCTGCATTACGAGCAGAAGTTTTGCACTGCAGTCGTTGTGTTGACCTTGATTCAGAAGGTTCTTGCTTAAAATGGGGTACTGAGGGACATGGTGTAGGGGAGGACTTTGTAGAGTAGGGTAGATGGTTGGACTTGATGATCCCAAGGGTCTCTTCCAAACTGAATGATTCTATGGTTCTGTGAAAAGTACTCGGTGGACATGTTAAAACAAGGCTTTTTGTCCAACATAGAGAATGGGTCCTGAACTTGTCTTCCTTGAAATGGATTGCCCTGCATATCAAAAAGCTGCAGGGATTGAGTGGGTGTTGGCTTCAACTTCTGTGGGGTCATTTTTCTTGTCACTGAAATATTTAGTGCATAATACAGAGGGAGATGGACCCTAATTTTTTACAAAGCTTTGTCCACCCACATGGAGCGAGCTAGGAGGTGTCTGCTCCTGACTAATTCTGTTCTCCCATTTTGAAATTCCACATTTCTTCCTTTTGTCTGGGACAGTTTGGGGTGGAATCTTCTCTATCGGCCACAGCCGTTATTTAAGGTGTGTGTTTGTGTAGCAGAGGGCGTCTGTTTTTATTACCCAGTGATTGTCACAGAAAGGTGCTACTGGCTGAGTGACTCTTCAGAGCTGTCCCTTGGTGGGAAGTGACAAAGTGCCCCTGTTCACAGCCACTTCCAGTATTTTTTTATCTATCCTTGTGGTCCTCTGTGGTTACGGTTGGGTTTTGGTGGTACAAATTTGCACCGTGTTTTCCAAACTAACTGAATTTCTAGCTGTTCTGTTTATTTGGCGTAGGGTTCAGTACAGCCATAGGTATAAAGTTACCAAGCCCCCAGTTTAATGCTGTTATCAAACATGGTTTTATTATGTGACTTGCTTCCAGGAAGTCTCTATAGTTTTGTGGTTTGGTCCCTTTCTGTAGTGAGGGTGCTGTGGCAAACAAAGAATCAATACTTACTGTGGGTTCTAGGAAAGTTAGATCTGTGGAAGACAATCTCTTTATTGACAAAGGAGAGAGAATCAATGGAGGGAGGTCCCAAAATACAGTAAGGAGCCCTCTGAGGATGTGATGTGTTATATTCTTTGTTTGGGATTCCAGTACCTCATTTTGATTTGTTGCAGGGCATTTGCAGGTCCCACCATAGGAGGATTTCTGACTGAAAAGCTGGGTTTCGAATGGGCCTCAGCCATCCAAGGAGGATGGGCACTCTTAAGTGTAAG